TAGAGAAGGTGTTGTGACAAATTGCCCTTTCAGTGTGACAAATCACCCTCAAATGACAGTCCTGTCTGTGACAAATTGCCCTTAACCCTGTGACAAATTGCCCTCAGAAGAAGCTGTTTTTTCACAAAGTTATCCCTGCTTATTGACTCTTTTTTATTTAGTGTGACAATCTAAAAACTTGTCACACTTCACATGGATCTGTCATGGCGGAAACAGCGGTTATCAATCACAAGAAACGTAAAAATAGCCCGCGAATCGTCCAGTCAAACGACCTCACTGAGGCGGCATATAGTCTCTCCCGGGATCAAAAACGTATGCTGTATCTGTTCGTTGACCAGATCAGAAAATCTGATGGCACCCTACAGGAACATGACGGTATCTGCGAGATCCATGTTGCTAAATATGCTGAAATATTCGGATTGACCTCTGCGGAAGCCAGTAAGGATATACGGCAGGCATTGAAGAGTTTCGCGGGGAAGGAAGTGGTTTTTTATCGCCCTGAAGAGGATGCCGGCGATGAAAAAGGCTATGAATCTTTTCCTTGGTTTATCAAACGTGCGCACAGTCCATCCAGAGGGCTTTACAGTGTACATATCAACCCATATCTCATTCCCTTCTTTATCGGGTTACAGAACCGGTTTACGCAGTTTCGGCTTAGTGAAACAAAAGAAATCACCAATCCGTATGCCATGCGTTTATACGAATCCCTGTGTCAGTATCGTAAGCCGGATGGCTCAGGCATCGTCTCTCTGAAAATCGACTGGATCATAGAGCGTTACCAGCTGCCTCAAAGTTACCAGCGTATGCCTGACTTCCGCCGCCGCTTCCTGCAGGTCTGTGTTAATGAGATCAACAGCAGAACTCCAATGCGCCTCTCATACATTGAGAAAAAGAAAGGCCGCCAGACGACTCATATCGTATTTTCCTTCCGCGATATCACTTCCATGACGACAGGATAGTCTGAGGGTTATCTGTCACAGATTTGAGGGTGGTTCGTCACATTTGTTCTGACCTACTGAGGGTAATTTGTCACAGTTTTGCTGTTTCCTTCAGCCTGCATGGATTTTCTCATACTTTTTGAACTGTAATTTTTAAGGAAGCCAAATTTGAGGGCAGTTTGTCACAGTTGATTTCCTTCTCTTTCCCTTCG